CCTCCCCAGGCTTCAGGAAACCCAGTTTTCTTCCTTTTGTGTGTGTGAATGGCGCGTGCACACGTGTGAGTGCCGTGGTGCTGGAGCGGAGGGTCAGGTGACTTGGGTGTGGGTCGCACCTTCCGCTGTGTTCGCAGGTGGGCTCTCTTTGCTGTTTGTAGGTGTTGGCACAGGCAGGGTGAGCTGCCCCGTGAGTGAGCTGAGCTTCTGAGGTTTCTCCTGTTTCTGCCTCTCTTCTCCATACAGGAACGCTGGGATCTGTATGCACGTGACCTCGCCCAGCTTTATGCGGGCTCTGGGGACTTGAACTCAGATCCTCATGCTTGTGCGGCAAGCACTTATCCTCAGAAGCTCAGCTCACAGGGCAGACTCTTGGTTGCAGCCAGGTGTGGTGGTGCAGAGCTTGAGGGTCAGAGGCAGGCGTATCTGTGAGTTTGAGGCCAGCCTGGACAGCCAGGGCTACACAAAGAAACCCCGTCTCAAAAAACAAATGAAACACTTGGTTGCTACGCCTATGTAGGCTCAGTGGTTAACAGACAATCCTTAGTGTTTGTTCCGTGTGCCTGCAATGCAAAGAAAGCTTTTTTTTTTCCTTCCCCCAGAGACAGTGTTTCTCTGTGTAACCTTGGAATTCGCTCTGTAGACCAGGCTGCCCTGGGACTCAGAGATCTGCCTGCCCCTGCCTCCCCTAGTGCTGGGATCACAGGCGTGTGCCCCGACGCCTGGCTTTGGGGATTGCTTTATCTCTACAGCCTCTTTAGCTCACAGCATGACTGCAGTCATGCAGGAGCTGGAGGTCCTGGTTCCCAAGGAGATTAGCCTGCAGGACAGAAGGGAGAAGGAGAGAGAGAGAGAGAGAGAGAGAGAGAGAGAGAGAGAGAGAGAGAGAGAAACACATCCAAGAGTCAGAGGGCAACCGGGTATGGACACCCAGCCAGGAGGACAGGAGGAGGAGGGATACCTGGCCTCAGGAATGATTGCCACATTGAAATTTTTTCTTTCTGACTATTGTGGCCTCAATATATATTCCTTTTCCGTCCAAGCTGGAAGTTCCACGGAGAAGCATCTGTGAGTAGTTGCAGGGGCTACAGGGGAAGCTGGAAGGACATGCATTTCTGTATTTCCTGGCACTGAGGTACTCTGGATGCCGAACAGGTAGAATGGCCCTCAGCCCCCTCTTGGAGCATCCTGGAAGTGCACTGATGGCTTGCTCACAAGATCCGCAAATCAAATCGAGTAGACCAGTTGATTCCCAGGGCCAGGCTCTCCCTGCTGCAACCTCCTGGGTAGGTGGGAAGAGCTTGGGGGAAACACAGGGAAGGCACAGTGAAGGGGCAGGCACACAGTGTTAAGTGTGAACACCCCTGCCTTAGGCAGTTTATCCTGGAACTTCAGGCAAGTTACTGGACCTCTCTGAATCTTGGTTACCTCAGCTACCGACTGGAAATAATAGTAAGTAATAATGCTAATTCTGAGAAAAGCTAGTATCTGGAGTATCTGGAAGACAGCTGATAGACTAAACTGAATCCAGGGCCGTGAAGGTGTGAGGCAAGGCCTCTTCCACTGACCACACCCAGTCTAGTGTTAGCAGGTGTTTTGTTGTTTTAGTTGATTTTTTTTAACATTTATTTATTATGTATACAGTGTTCTGCCTGCATGTATGCCTGCATGCCAGGAGAGGGCACCAGATCTCATTACAGATGGCTGCTGGGAATTGAACTCAGGACCTTTGAAAGAGCAGCCAGTGCTCAAAAGTTAAGAGCACCATCTCTCCAGCCTGTTTTTGTTTTGTTTGCTTTAGACAAGTCTCAGCTGAGGCAAAGCACAAGGTAGTCAGCCTTTTGGGATGGGATTACAGACATGCTTCACTATTTTTCATTTAAAATAACTGCATGTGTATGCGTGCTTGTGTATGAGACATAAGTGCACAGGTCTGTGTGGGTACATATGTGTATCTAAGTGAGTATGTGTGTATGCCAGAGAACTACCTTGTATAATGCCTTTTTGTTGTTTTTCCAAGACAGGGTTTCTCTGTGTAGCCTTGGTTGTCCTGAACTCCTTTTGTAGACCAGGCTGGCCTTGAACTCACAGAGATCTGCCTGCCTATGCCTCCCTGAATGCTGGGATAACAGGCTTGTGCAGCACTGCAACCGCCTCATAAGTAACTTTTGAACCTGAGTTCCAGGGTAGCCAAGGCTAAACAGAGAAACCCTGCCTGGAAAAACCAAAGCCTAATTACTCAGCTGAGAAATGGCCTTCATCGTCCTGGCCTGTGGGCACAACTGTGGGGCATTTACTCCCTGTGGGGGAGGACCCAGCCCACTGTGAGTGATAAAATTCCTGGGCAGGTGGGCCTAGGCTATAAAAGCTACAGGGGTTCTCTCTCAACCTGTGGGTCAGGACTGCTTTGACAAGACTCTATCTTCAAAAATATTTACATTATGACCTTGAACTTCTAAGCCTCTTGGCTCCACCTCCCAAGTGCTGGGTTTACAGGAGAGTGCCATCCTGCTAGTCAGCACTTCTGAATAGTCTAACACCCCTGGAGATATAAACCTTACTCACTGAGGGTCTAGCTCCAATTCCCCTGTATTTCTAACAGTATTCTTGGAACTATCCTTCTAAATACTGGTCGATGCCTTGTGGCTGTCAACACAGGCTTGAGATGGACTGACAAAGACCAGGCAACATGTTTTTCTATTTATTTGCTGATTTATTTTTGTAGTACTTGGGTACACTCTTGAGGTCTGTTGTATGTTAGGCAAACACTTGATCGCTGAGCCACATTCCCAGCCTCAAGACTTCTTAAAGGCTAACTAGCAAACCAGGCCTGGTGGTGGACATCTGTAATCCCGGTACTCTGAACACTTAGGCAGGAGGATTTCAAGTTTGAGGCCAGCCTAGGCTATATGGAGGGTAGCATCTGTCACAAAAGAGAAACAAGCTGGGCTTGTCCTCAAGCTAAACTTAAGGACAGCCTGGTCTAGAGAGTTTAGGACACCCAGGGCTGTTACACAAAGAAACCCTGTCTCAAAGAGAGAGGGGGGAGAGAAGAAGGGGAGGTGGGAGGCTAGTTAATTAGCAAGTGAACTCTTGGCCATCTTGCAGCATCTTCTGGAAAGCTTGCCGATTCAGCTATGCTGGAGACACTGCAGAGTTCTCCGGCTGAGCCCAAGTACCAATTGTCACTGGGCTTCCAAGACAAACATGCTCACAGTGACTTTGCTCAGTGGTCTCCTAGAAGAGGCAAGGTTTTCCCTCACTCCCCTGGGAGGTGCTCACTAAATACTCCCAGGACTGAGGCACTCCTGGAGTGGCTGTTTCAGTGTCTCTTTTCTTCACTGGGTGAGATGGGGGCTCAGTGAGGGTGGCCTCAATCGGTGCTTTCCAGGCAAGCATCCCAGCAAGGGAGCCCCACCCCCAGCTCTCTCTGCTTTGATTTATTGGTAATTCCTATACAAGGTTTTGTTAATGCTTAACAGACTTTTCTTTGCAAAATTCTTTTTCTCAAGGTTCGTGTGTTGGTTTGAGTGTATGAGTATTTGTGTGTGTGGTTGCAAGTGCCTGACTGAGGCCTTTCTGGAAGAGAATGTCCGATTCCTTGGAGCGGGAGTTACAGGTATTTGAGGAATATATGGCTGGTAACACAGATGTGGAGATCTCAACTGAATAAAAAAAAAAAAATCCTGTCTCAAAAGGGGGGGGATGAACTAGGCCCTTTCCTTTCCTCCCCTAATTTGCTTTCAGTCAGAATTTTTTTTTCTTTTACTTTTATGTCACTTAATCCAATGTGTATGTTTGCCTGCGGAGGACAGCATAGAACATGCCCAAAGTGGTTGTTAGGAACTAAACTGAACTGAGCCATCTCTCCAACTCTGGTGTTTCATCACGGCAACAGAGAAGCAAACTAGACACAAGACCATGCAGCACGGATGCTGTTTACTGCACGTTGTGCACCCATGGCCCCGTGCTTTGAGTGTGCAAGGGAAAGGAGGCCTTGCTCTGAATTCAGCGTATCACCCGCTGTCCCTGCATGTCCTTATGAAATCCTCCCTTACTTCCTAAACTTAGTAACTTAGTTGCAATTAGTATTTGACGGCAATTAAAAATAAAGTGGTACTTATTCTGTAATTCATATTCTTGTCTAGTTACATTTCATCACCTATACAAAAACAACCGGATGCTTTAAGCTTCAGGAATTTGCTTCCATTAATATTTATAAGCCAAATTATTAAAATTCCCGTCAAGATTTAATAAGGCCACTACACAGAAGCTAAGTTCAAGTGACAAGAAATACCTGCTTTCAGCATACTTCTATTTGGTTTTTGTTTATTTTTCCGGGAAAACATAACATGTAACCCAGGTTGGCTCTGAATCCTATGCTGATCTAACCTTCCTGCTTCTGCCTCCTAAATGATGGGATTATGGTGTGTACCTGGCTTTTGTTTGACTCTCCCCTACCCCCATCAGCCTCTGTGTAGCCCTGGCAGTCCTGGAACTCATTTTGTAAGACCAGGCTGGCCTCAAACTCAGAGATCTGCTTGCCTTTGCCTCCTGAATGCTGGGATTAAAGGTGTGTGCCACTGGGCTGGAGAAGTCCTGAGTTCAACTCCTGAAACCACATGGTGGTACATAACCATCTATGTCTGGCCCTTCACATGGATTCCAGGGATGAAACTCAAGTCAGGCTTAAAGCTTGCAGCCATATTTATCCAGGAAGCTCCACTGGCCTCAGGAAAACTATTCTTTAGGATAGACATTTTCATTACTAAGATTTTGTAATTTAAACCGATTTTTACCACTATCCTTGTTACACAGTTCGTCTGAGACATCACACTGCAGAAGGAAAATTTCTCAACCCCTGTGCAGGGAGGAGAGATGGCAGTAGGTGAAGATGGAGAAGAAGCACGAGGCAGCACACACTAGGCAGTCCTGAGTGCTCCCCACACAGCTAGGCTGGAGCAACTTCCAACTGAAACACATTCTCCCTACATCCACTCTTCAGAGATGGTTTGTTCTTTTATTAAAAGAAAAACTATTCAAAATGTATGGTAAGAAATTAGACCTTTATCAGTACACAAATAAGTTTACTCAAAAGCAGATCAATCCCATGTTTAAAAAATGTTCATAACCTTCTTCTAGGGATGTCTGTATCCTAGAAGCCATTTGTGTGGAACCTGTGGCACAGAGGAATGGTGACTCATGATGGTCCAGGTCCTCACACTTCTCTGTAGACACTGAGTGATGATACAAACAAAACGTTCTTCCCTGGATGAACAGGGAGATTCATATAAAGAATTCCATCAAGCTAGGCGTGGCGGCCACACCTTTAACTCCAACATTCGGAAGGGAGAAGCAGGTGGATCTCCATGAGTTTGAGGCCAGCCTGGTCTACATAGTGAGTTCCAGTATAGCCAGGGCTACATAGTGAGACCCTGTCTCAAAAAAACCAAAACCAAACCTAAAAGACAGAGAGGTCCGTAAAATGTCCATGAAGGATAACCCCACTATCAGAAGAGCTCCAGCACTTCAATGGAGTATAGTCCTCTACTGCTCTTCTCCTGATTTAACTTCTGTAGCTCCCGAAAACTTACTTCAATCTTGTTGAGCTCTGAATAGATGGAGATCTGAGGAAGAAAAAAAGACTTAGACTGACTTCGGAACCCCACATATAGCGTGACTTCCATCACTACTAACAGCTTTCCAAACATTTTTCTTTTCTGGTACTGGAATGAATCAAGGGCCTTGAGTATGCTTTGTTCCCTATACCACTAGATGACTCTCACATCTTCACAAACAAATTTTAAGAATAAGGTGTATGGACTATACCTATGTTCAATTAGTTTTTCTGAGACAAGGTATTGCTAGAAACAGGCTACTATCCCTTGGACCTGCAAGATGAGAAGAGAAAACCAACTCTCTAAAGATGTGCTCTAACCTACATTTTCAGGCTCTGATACCCACCCACCCCTACCAACACACACACAGACCCCACTCAAATTAAAATTATTAACCTAAAATACTAAATAACCACAAACCTGAGATTTCACAAAATTGTAAAGATTAAGCAAGAGTCTTTTTGCTTCTGGTATCATTAAGACAACAGTAAAATTAGCATCTAGAAGTAGGCATATCCAATCCATAATCTGGAGAGAGATACAGAAAGATTAATTGATTAATTCAAGTCCTTCCATGGTCTCAAACTCAAGAAAAACAAATCTTATTTTGGTTGTTGTTTTTCAGACAGGATTTCCCTTTGTAGCTCTGGCTGTCCTGGAACCCACTATGTCGACTAGAGAGCTGCCTGCCTCTGCCTCTCAAGAGTGCTGGGATTACGGTGTGCACCCCCCCTCCCCCCGCCATCAATCTTCACGAAAGCCTGACAGAGTAATTCCTAGGAAGGTGAATGGGTGTGGCGGCCCCACTGTAAGCTGAGCGCTCTGGAGGTGGAAGTGAGACGACTGCTGTGAGCTCCGCTGGGCTACAGGGGACCAAAAAACAGACAGAGCACTTTCTTTTAGATGATTCCCTGTAGTTCCAAGAGAGCCCAGCTGTCTTCTATGCTGTCAGACACATCACAGACATAGTATTACAGCTACCATGAGCTAAACTGAACACAAAGCAAATAAAATATTTACACAAGTATGCTCACATCTCTACACTACCAAATACTTTACAAAATACGAAAAGACACTAAGAAAGCATTTCTATTTGTAAAGGGGCATTATCTCTATGAGACTCCCTGCACCAAAGTAGATCTCAGCACTTGAGAGTTCAAGGCCTATGTGAGCTCTAGAGTGATAGTCTGCCTCAAAAGAACAAAACAAAAACAAGAAAATAAATAGCTAAATATACAATATATATGACTCAATGAGTTAAACAGAGAAAATGAAGCCATAAATATATCAGGAAAAGAAAGATAGCTGTTTTTATAACCTTTAAGGAAGAGTCCAGTGTATCTTATAGCATACAAATTAAAATTTGCCTAGAAAAACTGCACTGAAAAGATGAAGAGGGACTGGACTATTGGCAATTCCCAGTTGTCGGTGAGAGGTGTTGGCTTAGTCACGGGAAGGTGCTCCTGAGCTAGTGGCCAATCTCCAGCCATGCTCAGACTTAGAGGGTCTCTCACACACAGACCTGAATGTGAAGGGAATCTCAGGAAGAAAGGTTTCAGCAGAAAAGGGAAGAGGGCTTAACAGAGAGAAAAGGACCGAAGCCCTGTATACAAAACACATGGAACTGTCAAAGAATAAATCAAGAAATTACAAACAGTAACAAGATAAATGATACTCAATACACAAGAACTGTTTAAAAATACACCCAAAACAGGAAATACAACACAAAGACCCTGACTAAATATCTCACTAAAAGGAAGAAAGAAAAACAATTATACCCTCTAGTGTCAAAGAAACAGTAAGAAAAACAAGGCAACGCAATGTCCCCTACCTGATAAGCAAGAGTAAAGCTTGACAATAATAGCAGGTGTGGGCAGAATGTGGAAACTAAGGCCCAAACTTCAGGGGTAGGCCCCGTCACAACTCTTTGGAAAGGTAATCTGGCATTCTGAAAACTGAAAATACATGCCTGTTTCACTCAGTGTTTCTCTGTGGGAATGTACCCACAAGGACATCTATGTGAAGATTAGCACTAAAGCTTATGTATGTTGCAAAAATTTGCAAGCAACCTGTTTACCAAGAGGGGAGGAGACACAAAGATGGATGTACCAGGGCAGAACAAGTCTGCAACATGTCCTGAGACAAAGAATCAAACTACAGAACACAGTACACACTAACGCTCTGTGTCAGAGGCAAAAATCAAAGACAGGTAAGCTTGTGTCTAAAAACAGTATTTCTAGATACAAAATAAATGTTTCTGGTTTTTGTTTGTTTTTCAAGACAGGGTTTCTTTGTATAGCCCTGGCTGTCCTGGAATTCACTCTGTAGACCAGGCTGGCCTCAGACTCAGAGATCCACCTGCCTCTGCGTATCGAGTGCTGAGATTAAAGGTGTGCACCATCATGTCCAGCTCCATAAAAGGAGTTTGATGTTGGTTATCTCTAAGAAGGGCAGAGGAGTTTACTTTTTTGAGGCCAGGTCTCCCTATGAGAACTCATTATGTAGATCAGACTAGTCTTGAACTCACAGAGATTCACCTGCTCCTGACTTCTGAGTACTAGGATCAAAGGCATGTGAAACCACAGCTGGTCCCGAAGTTTTCTTCTTGAAACTTTTTGGATATAGGAACTTCAAACTACAAAGATGACTCTGGGATTTTGTACTCCAGAATCATGCCTCTAGCTATCCACCCACTGAACAGAGAGGTCCTCTCCAGTCCAGAAGAGTGCACAAGGGAAGAGACGACATCTTCTCTCCTCTTGGATGGCGGGGAGAAATTGGTTATGGAACTCCAGGGTTGACACTGCACGCAAGGTTTCTGTACAAAGGCAAAAAGATGTCTGACCTGGCTCACGGTTGGAGGGCTTTTTCCAGGAAGAGTCATGGCAGCATTGCCACTACACTTCAGATAGAGGAAATACAAATACTGGAGAAATAGCTGTGAAAGGGAAAAAGAGGAGCATAAATTACCACTTTGGTAGGAAAATGTTCCCTACAAATAAACCCAACAGACAGTAGAAAAAAAAATTACAAAGCTGTTCAATTAAATTATCCATCAAATAAATGCACATGTAACAAGTATATGGTGACAGAAACAAGTAAAATGAGTCTCTGTCACCACCAAGAGCAAAGGTCAGTAAACAACATGTAACAAAGAATTTCTCTTTTCTTTCTTCTTCTCATGTCTCTTCAGTGTTAACTGGCCTAACCTGGTTTCTAAGTACAGCAGAAAGAACATATCAAAGTCCATCACCCCCATATTACCCTATTTCCTGAGCAATTTTCTCCATGTGTGGGCTCACTTCCCTCTGACACATATGGAAGTATCCCATGGTGTTCAGAATGGCCTACTGTTGCTCAAAGCTACGTGCACAACTTCAACCAGAAACAAAACACACAAGGTGTGCAGGGCACTCACCGTGATATGCTTCCCAGGGATGTCCTTCAAGTGTGGCAGGAGGAAGGGCTCACTGTATGCTGAATGAAGGACGGCATTTCTACTCAGGACTAAAGGAAAATCTTCAACAGAGGAAAGGCACACTTCTGGAAGTAGTTTTCTTTCTTGGTTTAGAAAGGGCCTATCACCAACACTCCCACTGTCAGGGACCAGGGAGACTGCTCATTTGTAAACAATTCTTTTTAAAGAATGGTGGGGCCTGCACATTACTACAGCCTCCGCTGCTCCTTTTTCTTTCTCTTTTTGCGGATACAGACTCTTACTCTAGACCAAACTGGCCATGACCTCACTACACAGTCCAGGCTGGCCTTGATCATCTAGCAATCCTTCTGCTTCAGTTTACTAGGTGTTGAGATTATAGGTACGAGGTCTAGTATTAGTTTCCTAATTAAGAAAAAAAAAAAATAGGTCACAGGCCCGGAGAGATGGCTCAGCAGTTAAGTGCACTGGCTGCTCTTGCAGAGGTCCTGAGTTCAATTCCCAGTAACTACATGGTGGCTCACAACTGTCTGTAACACCCACAGATATAACATATAGGCAAAACACTGATGTACATAAAATAAAAATAAATTATTCTTTAAAAAAATGGGTCACAAATAACTTGGTGGCACACACCTGCTATTTTGTCACGTAGGAATTAGAGACAAGAGGATGCCAATGCTGTCCTTGGCTACTGGAACAACATCTCAGGACGAAACCAAACCAAAACAAACAATAATAGAATCCCTAAAGGAAACAGACATAAATGGCTGGGGAAGGCAGCGCTAATGTAGAGTGTTTGCCAAGTATGCATACGACCACAGGTATAATCCACTCCTATGCACGCACACAACGCAAGAGAGAGAGAGACAGAGACAGAGAGACAAGAGAGAACAGGTTTAATAAATTAATTGAAGGCAACATGAATGGAATCCATTTTAAGCAGATACTGAAAAAGCAGAAAAACAATCGATCATGCCCTAGCTGATGAGCATATAACTATAACCTGACAGACACAGTACAATGGAAACTGTCTGGAAGGATACAATAGAGCTGCTCGCTTTGGCATCACAGGACATGAGGTCACAGGGAATGAGATGGTCTCCTTTGTTGCATCTCCAGCCTGTTTATTTAATTGCCGACTATCTGTACTGCAGCCACTGTCTTCGGGACTGAAGCCATTTTGAACAATTTCAGTCTGTTCTTCTGTTTCCTTTTTCTCATCTTGTATGGTATCACTATAATCAAAAACTGACTCCATATTGATATTAATGTCTCGAAGACAGTCATCACCAATGCTACGATGTTAATTGAAAGCAAGAGGTTAATTCTTTTCACTATTTGAACTTCCAAGGTTCATTTTCTAAGCATTTAACATTTTCGAAGTCAAATGAGTCATAGATTCAAATGACGTCAAGGGAATGAAAGCACAGGTTCTAACTAACCTCAAGAAAAGTTTTAAGCAAGCACAGGTGGTGGACTCAGGAATGTCAGGGAACTGCTGTAGACACAGCTGTAACATCTGTATGTCCGTGCGCTCTAGGGCAATCTCCATCAAGCCAGGGCACAAGCTGAGATCAAAAGTAAGACAGTTACGATTTTATATATATATATAAACCATTAAAAAAATTAAGACAGTTTATTTTATGAATATACATTTCTGTATATATTTCTGTGCACCACACGTGTGCCTGGTGTCTATGAAAGCCAGAAGAGAGCACTAGATTCCCTGGTACTTATGAGCTACCAAGTAGCTGCTAGGAAAATAAACCCAGGCCCTTTACAAGAAGAGCAAGTGTTTTCTAGCACCATGTTTTTGTTTTTGTTTTTTTTTTTTAAAGACAGAATCACTATGTAGTCTGGACTGACCTCAAACTCATGATCTCCCTGCCTTGGCCCACTAAGTAATAGGATTATTGGCATGCAGCATCACCATTGTCTTAGTTTCTTGTAAGACAGGGTTTCCCTGTGTAACTATCCTTGAACTAGATTTGCAGACCTGGCTGGCCTGGTCCACCCACCTCCTAAGTTAGGGGTTACTGTCGCCGCACAGTATCTTAAGTTTCTTTATTAGCTGCTGTGGTAACCTATGTGGTTCTTAGGCTACTGGAATGTTTTGAGGGTACAATGTGGAAGAGTTTGGTATTTGGAGTTCAGAGAGCAGTTAACTGCTGAAAGGAAAGCTTGAGAGGCCATTCAGGTGGGAACTTAAAAGCAGCAATGCTAAGAGAAATGTGGACAGTGGAACAAGAGACTTAGGAACTGGGCTACGGGCCATTTGTACGTATTCTGACCAAGAATTTGGCTTTCTCTGCCCATACCTTGAGAACACACATGGAGCTGAACTGAGCAATAACAGATTAGTTTGTTTTGTAGAGGAAATTTCAAAAGAGATCAGTTAGTTTGCTACTGAGAAGCCATCTGTAACTATTAAAGAGCTCAATACCAATTAACTAGAAACCTTTTGAGCAACACTGGACAATAAGAAACCTGTTCCAAGGGAAAAACTCCATCCTTCTGAGGATCTATCACGTGAATATACAGGTTCATTTAAAGGAAATCTAAGATAAAGGAGGCCCCTGCTCCTCAAATGTAACTGCCTAGCAAAGCGTTTCCCCATGGCCAGCACAAAAGAGCTGATACAGCCGTGCTCCGAGCCACACATTATTCGTGCAGTAATGGTCTGAGGGCAAAGATGCCAAAACCAAGGCCAGGCAATGTATGGCAGGACTGAGTCCCTATAAAGAAGATTCACATACCCACTGTGTGTAAAGACCTATGAAGGTGAGGTCTATGTGGCGAAGCCCACATCACCCTTGCACCAGGAAAGAGAACTAAGACTACAGAACTAAGAACTATGCTTTGGTTATGCATATTCGTGTGATATTAAGTTATGCATGCTTACTTATGAGTCGGTATGTACGTATGTGTGTGTGTGCATGTGTGCATGCGTCTGTGGAGGCCCTAGAGTAATGCTGAGTGGCTTCCTCCATTGCTCTTCACCGTGTAAGAGGCAGGGTCTCCCTAGAGATTAAAGTTTGGCCCTCATTCACCGGGACTGCAGGTGGGCTGCCATACCCTACCACACTGTTAGGGGCTCAGGGAGGCTGAATTCCAGTGCTCACATTGAACTCTCTGAGCCACCTCCTCAGGAACATTTTTACATAGGAAAAAAAAGAATCGCAAATACAAAAAACAAGGTAAAGAAAATGCTGAATATGAAGTGTGAGACACACGTCTACCTGTAGGAAAGCACATGCGTCTGAATGAGCTGCATCAGACAGTTCCGGGGGTAAAATGATGGTTCTGCTTTACATCTTCCCAGAAGTCCTGCTACTATATCTCCAATTATAGTATGAAAGTCAGGTGTTGACTTAGCCAAAAATTTACGTAGTTCTACTTCAATGTGTTTTTCTGAATCTTTCTGAAAGGGTAAAATTAATGAAATTTAGTCTGGTACATTAAGAAATATCACTCTGAACTAAAAAATAATCCTCCCAGCACAACATTTCCTCAAAAGACAAGTAATATCCATGCAACCCACTGAAGCAAGGCGACATTAAATTCCACAACACACTGCAAAGGAGGAAAAATCCAAGGGTTTATAAATCCAGATACGCAGAGTCTCCATTACAAACATAGTGCAGAGTCTGAGATACAGGAGGTCAGCACCAGATTGCTAATCTCATCACATAACAGAGTCAAATAAGGCCAAGTTTTGTACAGGCTCTGATGAGGTTAACACATGTAGAACGGAGCTGGAGAGATGGCTCTACAGTAAGAGTACTTGCTGCTCTTGCAGATGACATGGGTTCAACTCCCAGGCACTCTGGTGTATATATATGAATATGCACATTCATATACATATAATAATCACCAGAACTGTGAGACAAGTGCCTTTACCCACTAGGCCATCTCATCACCCCTATTTCCAGTCTTGAAAACAAAAACAACACAAACAAAAGCCAACCAACCAAATTTACCTTTATTATTGATAAAAGTTGTTTAAATCCTGGAACTTCTGGCTGTAAAGCTGCTTCAGTTTTTTTTCTCCTTAGCTGTAAGTAAATAGATTGATTAGGTTTTTAAAATAATGCAAAAGACTTATAGTCTCTAAATAGTCCTGGGTGTCCTGAAACTCACTATATATATGCCAGGCTGGCCTCAAACTCAAAAAGTTCTACCTGCCTCTGCCTTCTGGGTGTTGGGATTAAAAGTCAATGTCACTGTGCCCAACTAGGCTTACTTTTTGTGCAAGCGTATTTTGCCTACACGTATGCATGTGTAGCATTTTAAGGACCTGGTCCCATGGAGGTCAGAAGAGGGGAGTGGGATCCCCTGATGGTTTTGAGCTACCATGTGGATGCTAGGAACAAACCCTACTCTTTTGTAAGAAGAGCCAGGACTCTTAACCACTAGGTCACCTCTCCAGCTCCAAGATTTTCTTTATAAGTATAGGTCAACCTGTGTTTCAGTGAATTTATGTGTACGTGAATGCAGGTGCCTCAGGAGGCCACAAGAGACATTGGGTTCCCCTGGAGTTGGAGTTATAGGCAGCTGTGAGCTGCCTGAAATGACTGCTGGGACCCAAACTTGTGCTCTTTGCAAGAGCAGTGAGCACTCATAACTGCTGAGCCATCTTTCCAACCCCAATCACATTTTTAAAAAAGATTTATTTATTTATTAATTATGTATACAGAGTTCTGCCTAAATGTACACCTGCACGACAGAATAGGACACCAGATCTCATTATAGATGGTTGTGAGCCACCATGTGGTTGCTGGGAATTGAACTCAGGACCTTTGGAAGAACAGTCAGTGCTCTTAACCTCTGAGCCATCTCTCCAGCCCCCAATCACATATTTTTAAAAACAAGCTTTATTGTAAATTAAGTACTTTTATTACAACTTTGAAATGAAATACATTGTTTTTTTTGTTTTCGTTTTTTTTTTTTTTAACTTAGGCTGGCCTGAAACTCACTATGTAGCTCAAACTTGTAATCCTCCCTACCCGGCTTCCTAGGTGCTGAAATTTGGGCCATGAGTTACCACATCCAACTTTGGTTCTAGTTTTTTTTTTTTTCTAAACTTAAAATAAAACCTCTATACCCAGGAGGGCATTACTGCTAATTGCAAACTGGCCTATTTTCCTACCTAGAACTTCGTTGATTCCACACACATCCCCACGTTAACACACCCTGAAGCTGGAGAGAACCCAGTATCAGCACTGAGAACATTCGCTGCATGTGCAGAGGACCAGGGTTGGGCCCCAGCATTACCATGGCAGTTTACAGCCACCTATAACCACAGTTCCAGGGGCTCCGGCTCTTCACCTTGGCTGGCAGAGCACATATATTTTTGGGCACATAAACATAAATAAATATTAAAAAAATTACCAGCTAGATTTGCCAAGTATTATTTTGGATAAAGACTATTGAAGTTATAATGCCCTGTTACTAAGATCAAAGTACAAGACGTATATAGATATGAGCCTTTCCTGTTTTTTTTTTTTGTTTGTTTGTTTGTTTGTTTTTTCATTTTTTCTTTCTGAGGCAGGGTTTCTCTGTGTACTGTTGGCTGTCCTGGACTCACTTTGTAGACCAGGCTGGCCCCAAACCACAGAGATCCCCCTGCCTCTGGTCCCTGAACGCTGGGTTTACAGGCGTGTGCCACTATACTTGGCTGTTTTTTTTTTTTTTTAATTCACACTAACAATTTTCATTCAACCACTGAACTTACAGTTCTTGACTGGTCTGCACTGTAGGACCCACGTTCATATCCTGAACACGTTTCCCAGTTTACAAAATGGGGCATGGAATGAGTGCCTAAGGAAACACAAAACATAAATTACTGGACTATTTGACCTAACATCATCAAATTCAAGAATAAAAAGAAAACTAATCATACACAATTTACAAGAGGTTTCAAGGAAGGTGACAGTGGCACACACCTTTAATCCTAGCACCAAGGAGGCAGGTGGATCTCTGAATTAGAAGCCAGCTTGGTCTACAAAGTGACCTTATTCAAGGTGAATAAAGGCTACAAAGAGAAAAATCTATCTAGAAAAACCCAAAGAAAAGGAAAAAAATGAAAAGAAAAATAAAAGAAAAGAAGAAGAGAAAGAAAAGAAATCAGGAGCTGATAAAATGGTCTGTGTTGGTAAACAAAAAAAAAAAAGAGGGGTTCCCACCTGACTCTTGTGTATGTTTGAGCTTTCCAAGAGCACTCGCTAGACATGAGACTTCACACTTGTACGGAATCACAGTTAGACATTTTCCATGTAGCATAAATAATATTTCCCCATGGTACCAGAGCTGAAAAAGAAGGAAGCATATATTTTTCTGAGATCTGACTCTATAAAAGCCTGTAACTTATTTTATTAGCATGTGTTCACTGTACCAAATGATGGATTTCACATCTCCCCTCACACACACTCACACCCTTGTTTACTGTCCCACTTCCTCCTGCTGCTCAGTCTCTTCTTTCCACATCCCTGCTCCACTCACATCTCTTATACAAATTTAAGTCTAGATTCAGCAATGAAAGAAAAATCTAATTTTTAAAAGATTTTACCTACTTTTCCTACAAACTAATTGGTCTCATCTGAAATCAGCTGTAATTTAGTGCTTTGAAAGTCATACGTAGGCAGGCAGTGGTGGCAGAGACTTTAATCCCAGAACTCTAGAGGCAGAGGCAGGCGGGTCTCTTGAGTTCAAGATTAGCCTGGTCTATAGAGCAAGGTCCAGGACACAGAGAAACCCTGTCTCAAAACAAACAACCAACCAACAACAAAACAAAACAAAAAAACAAAACCAAAGAAACAAGATCATGAATATATATAATCTGTTAAAACAAAAACCCAGTCAAGCTGTAATCCCGGTACTTGGGAGGCAGAGGTAGGCAGATCTCTGTGAGTTACAGGCCAGCCTGGTCTACAAAGAGAGTCCAGGACAGCCAAGGTTACACAGAGAAACCCTGTCTCAAAAAACTAAAAACAAACAAACAAAAACCCAACCAAATGTAATCTCTTAGGTAAAAAAGTAAAATGTAATTCTAGTTTTCCTCAGAGGACAGCTAATAGAAACCCAATTAACCAATAGCACAATAGCACATGTCTAGAATTCTGGGCACTCAAGAGGCGGAGGCAGGAGGATTACAAGTTTGAGCCACCCTGGGCTACATAGTAATGAGTTAATACCTTACCTCAACCAAAACCCTAAACCTGAACAAAACAAAACAAAAAACCAAAACCAACAAACAAAGAGAAAAATCAAACTTACTTGCCCACTGGTTCCTTGTGGCAACTCCTTTGACGTCTGTAATGTTTGAAACTTTATGTTCCATATGGAGAGGCATTCTATAATGTAAGTTACAAAAGTTCAGAAACAGACCTAATAGAAACATATACTATCCTGGCACAAAGGAAGGAGGCAGAGGTACACACACAAGTTTGCTTTATGTATAAAAATGAGTGCCAGAGAAATTCAAATAAATGAGGCACAGGGTAGGTAGGAAGTGGAGTGGAAAAGGCCTGGGGAGGTCAAGATAGCAGATCTGAGTCTGTAATTAAGAACACTGATGCTCTTCCAGAGGACCTGGGTTCAATTCCTAGCACCCACATGGTAGCTCACAACTGTCTGAAATTTCAAGATCTGGAACCCTCAGACATAAATGCAGGCAAAACACAAACACTCATAAAATAAAAATAAATTATCAAAACAAAACCCAACAACATTTAAGATAGAAGAGCCCAGACCAGAAGACCTCCCTATTGAATTCAACATTCATAAAATGAGCAGCGAACTCTTTTAGTCCTAACCCTCCAGTAAGTCCATATTACCCTGAGACCGAAGCACACACACAGGCATGCATGCGCACACAGAGAGGCATGCACTAACACACAAATAAATAAAACTTGACAAAGTTGCTGGGACAAAAGCAACACGTAAAACCAGCTGTGTTCCTACAACCTACAAAGGGAAGCTCTAAAAAGGAAACAACATTTACATTAGCATTTAAAAGAGTAATTTAACCAAGGAAGGAAACGACTGACTTACAGTACAAACCACAAAAAACTGGTAGAAACCAAGGAAAACACCACCAGATGGAATTCATGAACTGGAAGATGACACGGGCATGGTGGTACATGCCTGTAATGCTAGTGCTTGGGAAGCTGGGGTAGGAGGACCCTGAGATCAGGGCTAGCCTGGGCTACATAGTGAGCTTCTGCTGAGAACGAAGAGAGCTGACAGAGACTGGCGGCTAAAAGCTAAATTTGATTCTTAGTGATCTGTTACCCTTCGAAGCTGGAAGTGGCGGTCCCAGGACTGCTACGTGGTCTTGATCGAGGACGGTGAGGGCTACACCATTTCGAGCACCGCCAGACACAACTGCCTTGAGCATCAATGCTCTAACCAACCTCTGATTTTTTTCTGTGTCACTTGAATATATTGGTATCAAGGTTTCATACATACATCCATCAGAGCCTGTTGGGAGCAAATATGTGTTGTTTAGCAATGGGAAAAGGACAGTTTATATCTACTGGGGTGTTTCTAAGACTACACGTCCATAAATAACACAATTAGATCATTTATATCACTCTACGCTTTCCCTCAAAATATATATTAAATTTTTTATAAATGGGGTCAGTAAAATGGTTTGCAAGGTAAAGGCACTCCACCAAGCCTGACACCCTGAGTATGATCGCTGGAGCCTATACGATGGAGAGAGAGTCAAGGCACATGCACACAAGAACACACACTAAATAATGCCAAAGATACGTGTGTGAGTATAGGGATGCACTGGAGGTGTAACTCAGCTGGCCTTGCCCTCTGTGCACATGGCCTTCAGTTTAATCCCTAGGACCACATAAAACCAGCCTGTACACGCCTCTGTAGTCTTAGCATCTGGAAGGTAGAGGCAGGAGGAGCAGAACGATCATCTTTAGCTAGCTGTGACTTCTTTGTGTAACAGAGCAATGGCTGTTCTGGGCTAGCTCTGTAGACCAGGCTGGCCTCAAACGCAGAGATCTGCCTGCCTCTGCCTCCTGAGTGCTAGAATTAAAAAGCATGGACCACAATGGCTGGCTTGTGATTTTTTTAAATAGGTATTGTATTTGTTGTTGTTTATGACAAGCCAAACAAAAAAGTTGTATGAATGGCTACAGCAGACAACTGCAGAGAGTTTAAGAACCTACATCATCGACAGCCCTAACAGCCATCCACCACCCCACACTAAGGAAAACTCACTCAGTGACATCAAGGAGATGAATTTCCCATCCACACGTGCAGTAAAATTTGGTTTAACAGATTTTTCTTCTTTTCCAAGTAAGAGTGTGTATTTGCTTAAGGTGTGCGATTTACACAATTGTACGTAAGCAAAATAATTCTCATGCTGAAAAAAAAGATATAATAATAATAATAATAATAATAATAATAATAATAATAATAACAACAACAACAATCTCACTTCAACCTAGAAGTTACTGCTCCATTCTAATTACTTCAATAAATAGTTAAAACCTGCTTGCCCAGCTGGCTGTGGTGGCACATACCTATAATCCTAGCACTTGGGAGGCAAAGACAAGAAAAATGCATCAAGTTCCAGGCTGCTAAGGATTGCAGAGGAGCTGCATCATTGAGCTCTATTAAACCCTTGTCTTCTCAGATCGGGTCTTACTATGTAGCCCAAACTGACCTTAAACGCTTCATCTTCCTGCCCCATTCTCCCAAGTGCTGGGAGTAATGGCATGTTGTAATTATAGGCATAGCTTCTCTTAAATTTGGGGAACTGGGCAGCAGAAGACCTGGGGACCCAGGGCTCAGCAGCAGTCAGAAGGCCATGGGGTTAAGGAAGTACAACAAAGACAAGAAGTAGATTTCCGTCACCAAGTTAGACCACCTGGTCAAGGACATGAAGATCAAGTCCCTAGAGGATCTGCCTGTTCTCCCTGCTACCCAGGACTTCCTGGAGCATCCAAAAAGGATGAAGCTCTAAAGATCGAAGCACTGCGGAAGCAAGAGTAGGGCTGGCCGGCAGACCTGGTTCAAGGCTTCTATTGCTATTGGGGACTACAAGAGTCATGTTTGACTTGGTGTTAAGTGGTCTAAGGAGGTAGCTTCTGCCATCTGAGGGTCCGCTGTCTTGGCCAAGCTTTCTATTTTCCCTGTATGGGAAAGGGCTAATGGGAAACAAGATTTGCAAGCCTCACTGTCCCATGCAAAGACAGGCTGTTGTGGCTCTATGTCTTTTCCCTGCCCCCAGAGGCAATGACATCTCTCTCTCTCTGTGCTCAAGCACCAGCCAGTTACCACCATCTTTGATACCATCTCCAAGACCAACAGCTACCAGATCCCACACTCCTGGAAAGAGATTGTGTTCACCAAGTCCCCCAACCAGGAAATCATGATCATCTTGTGAAAATCCACACTGGAGTTTCCATTTAGAGGATACAGGCTCCAGCTGTGGATGCTACATGGGGTTCTTATAGCATAAAAATAAAGAGAATCAAGTCTGCTAAAAAAATAAAATAAAATAAAAAGGCATAGAAATAGTTCAACAGGCATAGAATGGTTCAGTTTAGGCAAAAAACTACCACTTTAATGTTCACAAAAGAAACAATCTTCTAAGAGAAATAGTAAAATTACAATTTAGTTTTGAAAATAACGTTTCTTTAAAAAAGACCAGAAATTGAAGATGTCACTTACATTTTCAGTAATAAAAATTAAAACAGGTTGCTTAAATAACATGAAAACCTCTGACCACCTTTAAAAAAGAATGAAAAGTTAGAAAACACAAAATCAGTTGAGAAATGCTATTTATCAATTGCACTTAAAAAACTATTATGTTTTTGGAGGCAGGGCAACAGGGAACTCCTACTTCAGTAATACAGTCACTCTCTGTCTCTGTCAAATGCATCTCAGGAGATAGCATAGGTTGGTTAAACTTCCCAGAAAATAATGAAAACTGTGAGGGTGGGGGTGAGAGGAGTCAGCAGTCCTTTAAGGACCGAGTCTCCCATCCCTCCTCATCAGAATTACTTTGAGGACTAGCATTCTTAGGGTAAATTAGAATCTTATCTGCCTTCTACAATCGACAGAGAATGAGCCATAGCAAAGCCGAAGGATCCACAACTAGGGTAGCATTGTCAGTCTGTGGCAAAGTGGTGACTAGAACCCAAAGGTTGCCACTCCTCGAACAGCTGCTCACATCTTTAGAGGCACTTGGGGTCAATCTAAGATCAAGCTGTTCACCTGCTCATTTAGCACAGATCTTTGCTTTTAGGAATTTAGTTTCCATAAGGTAGACCTGAAGACGCCAAAGGTAAATTGAACAGGGAATGTGATAAAGTAATGAGCACGGGAGAGATGGAAGTCATGACTGTCCATGTGAAGGAACTATTTACCCAGCATTATTCCAGAGCCTGGGAAAGCAGAGGCCTTACAGCACCACCATCGGATCACCTCTTGCTACCAAGGAATGGTTTTGTCTAGGGAAAAGGGCTGTGGCTTGGCAGCTGAGCAGTAGGACAGAACCAGAGTTTGGACTCCAGTATCATCCACTTCATTCACAAAGAGCTGACTATCCAGGTCTCTGATGTTTGACCAGGACTATGGTCGTTTCTTTATCATTCACTATTCCACAGGCTCACAGGCTCTTGGAAATTTTGCTCAGTGTCTCATAAGTGCTTTCTTTTTAAAATTCAAGGTCTTAATATGTAGTCCCTGCCTGCCAAGAACTTGTTATGCAGACCAGGCTGACCTCAAACTCAAGAGACCTGACTGCCTCTGTCTCTCCAGTACTATACCCAGCAGTAAGTGGAGTTTAATTAGGGTGTTTTTTTCTTAGGATTCCAGGGATTCACTCTAGGATTCAAACCTGCTACTCAGGGCTACACCACTGAATTATACCACAGCCCTTTATGTTTCTAAGCAAAAATACCTTTAAACACAGGAAAGAATGTAGTAAAGTAATTCAAAGTGCACTTTCTACTGGTAAAAACTCGTAACTGAGTATTGGAACTTACCTGATCACTTCCTCCTCAGGTATGACAGCTTCAATGTTCTGCTGAGGCTCTGCAAGCAATGCTTCTAACCCACGAGCAGCACCTCTGCGGAACAGCACCAATGGTTCTGTCCTTTGTACTGAGTGGATCCTATGGACCTCAGCTGACAGCTGGAAAAAAATGTTCCAGGTATTTTAAGTTTTATTCTAAAAGAAGACACATACTACAATACAGATATTTACAGCTGTCTAGCTATGTAGTCTGGGTTGGCCTTGGATTTATGATTCTGCTTTAGCCTCCCAAGAGGCTGACATTACCAGCATGTGCTATCACACCAGGCCTAAAAGATTTATTTATGCTAAGAATACTAGCACATGCCTTTAATCTCAGCTCTTGGGAGGCAGAGGCTGGAGGATCTCTGAGTTCAAGGCCAGCCTGGTCTTTATATCAAGTTCCAGGACAGCCAGAGCTACACAGCAAGACTGTCTGAGAGAAAGAGAGAGGGGAGACTAATAACCCACAACTGCCCTATGTCTGTCTTTCTCCCTACTCTAAACTGAATCTAGGGCATTGTATGAGCTAGGCAAGCATTCTACCACTGAGCTAATTCCCGGCCCCACATGTAGGGCTAAAACAACAATTAAAAAAAAAA